TGCGGTCTTTACTATATTTGCCTATTGTCATTAATCAGTATCTCTTTTTCCCTCAGCTGACATTTTATCTTTGAACTGACTGAGCCCAATTCTTGTGTGATGCAGCACCTAGGAACATACGTACTGATACCATATGCACTAGATTTTCTGTACATTAAATTTAATTTGTTATTTATCAAGCTATCAGGCCCACTTTTCAACAGCACCTTAAGAACCCAAGAGCCTTTGTTGAAAGTAATTTAGGTACTTGAGAGCCTAAGGTTAGGTCTAGGTTAACACTGTGTCGGTAGAAATTCTGTCACTCAGGGCAGGGTGTGAAAAAACACACCCCTGAGTGACATAAGTTACCCTGACAGAAGCGCTGGATTGGAGAGCACTAAGTCTGCAGGAGACACGCTCCTGCTGACATAGCAGCCACCACCACTCATGGGGGGTGGGTTAATGATATCCACGGGAGAGCTCTCTCCTGTCGGCATAGACCGGCTACACGGGAGATCTTACAGCTGCACAGATCAGTGGCAGATTTCGAGTTAGTGGGGCTCTGTGTGTAGCTTCATTTTTGTCCCCCCCGAAGCAGCCAAGAAAAAGAACATTCTCTTATCTTCCCCACTCCCACCCCCTGTTTTTCATTCTTTTTTTCTTCATCCTCCTCCTATATTATAAGTAATGGGAAGTAATAGAAAATAAAGCAAGGTACCTTGATTGGGGCAGGGGGGTTGGGTGTGGGAGGAGGGGTGAGGGGTGCAGGATCTGGGAGGAAGTTTGGGTGTAGGGTGCAGGCTCTGAGCTGGGGCAGGGGGTTGGGGTGTGGGAGGGGGGCAGGGGGCGGCACTTACCTTGGGTGGCGTGTCTCCCAAAGTGACCAGCACGCACACACACACCCCCCAAGCAGTGACTCCAAGTTGGGGGGGGGTCCAGAGGGTCTCCGTGCACTGCTGCCCACAGGCACCATGCCCGCTACTCCTATTAGCCGCAGTTAGCCGTAGGGGCAGTGCGTGGAAGCACACACACACCCGGGGCCGCAGGGACATGCCAGCCATTTCCGGGAGTGAAGCAGCATGGAGGGAGGGAGGCAGAGTGGGCAGGGAACCGGCTGAGCCCTGCTGCGTGCCCCTTGGGGGGCCGGGGGCAGCGGGTCTGGGTGCACTGCCCGGGGCAGGTGCAGCACACGGGTGCGCAGAAACGTGCCAGAAGCCGGCTGCTTCTGGCCATGGCATGCAGGCAGCCTGCCTGTCTGTCTGAGCCCGCCGGCTGGGACTCAGGGACAGGTGGTCAGATATTTGTCCTGCATTTCGGGGGGCCCCCTGTCGTTGGAGACCCCCTGCCACTGCACAGTTAGGTTCATGGTAAGCTCTCAAGCGTAGACATGGCCTGAGTCTCATTGCAAGTCAATGGGAGGGAGGCTGCTAAGTCATTTAGAAGCTCTTGAAAATTTGATCCACTGTCTGAGTGCTTGATTAAGCAACTGACAAGACCCCATGATTGTTCACAGGGTTGTTGTAGCCGTTTTGGTCCCAGGAGATGAAAGAGACAAGGTGGGGGAGGTGATCTCTTTTATTGGACCAACTTCTGTTGGTGGCAGAGACAAGCTCGTCTTCAGGATGTGAACATGAGCTCTGCGGCGCTCCGAAGCTTGTCTTTCACCAACAAAAGTGGGTCTAGAAAAGATTCTAAAGTATTTGTGTGCGTGAAAGTCTGGAATATTAATGCAACAGATGTCCAGCCCCAGGCCTGCAATAACCTACTTGTGTTCCATTAACTGAAAATACTCATTGGCAAGTAGTGCGGATTTTCAGGTTTTCCTTCGGAAGATTCGCTTTACAAACTAGTTATCCTTGCAGTCAATGGTTATTGAGAACTCTGCACTAACTGAAAAAACAAGCTACTAATAGAGTATTTTGAATGCTTTGCAGCCCAAAGGATCTCTTTCCACAGTGATGCTGGATAGGTACAACACCCCTGAAATACAGATCCTTCTGGGATGGAGCGGAACCTACACAATATTTGGGGTGAATTTGGGGTCGGGGGAGGAATTTGGGCAAGGATCTCAGGGCAAACAAAACCCATCTACTTTGATGGAAAATGCAATGGGATCTTCATTTTCCATGAAGAACAACTATGATCCTAGGGCCGTGCTTTTCAGCCTGTGGTCCACAGATGCCTGGGTGGCTGCAGACTATGTCTAAGGGGTCCGTGAAAGGTTGTCATTACCATAGATGGGTGATATTTCGACCTGTAGTGCATGGACCCCGGAGGGTCCGCAGACTAAGATTTCCAAAGGGGCCCACACCTCCATTCACACTTTTTTTTTAGCAAAAAGAAAAGGAGTACTTGTGGCACGTTAGAGACTAACCAATTTATTTGAGCATAAGCTTTCATGAGCTACAGCTCACTTCATGCTGTAGCTCACGAAAGCTTATGCTCAAATAAATTAGTTAGTCTCTAAGATGCCACTAGTCCTCCTTTTCTTTTTGCGAATACAGACTAACACGGCTGTTACTCTGAAACTTTCTTTTTAGGTATCTGCATGTGAAAAAAGATTGAAAACCACTGCCTTAGAGTAATGTTTTCGTAATTGCAGGTGGCGTTACCATGTGGGGTTTGATTTCTCCTCTTATTTCCACCAGTGTAACTCCATTGAGTTCAGTGAAGTTACTTTGGATTTACTCCAGTGTAAGTGAGAGGAGAAACAGGCTCATGCTCTCAAGCCCGGCATGATAAAGAGATTAAACTTGTCAATGATTTCCCATCCCCTTGTCATTAGAAACAAGCTAACAAATCTTAAGCTACATTTCACAAGCTGTAGATGAATGAGTAATAACATCACTGTCAACTGCCTTCAGAAATGTCCATTAACAGTTTGCATTTTACTTTTCAAGTCAGTCTAATTCTAACACGTTAGCCAAAATGCCCTCAGCAAAAAAATGATCTCACTCGATCTCGTTTCTAATTACTGCAGAACATGCAGATGAGGAAAAAGACCAGAAAGAGGGAAATTCTAGAACACCACTCTCTATATTTTGAATTTTAAATACCAAGTGTCAGCAAAGGACCACAAGGTTTTCTAGGAGGTACCAACAAATAAAATTTATCATCATTTTAGAAATGAGTAAACTGAGGCAGAGACAGGCTCAGTGATTTGCCCTCAGCCACATAACAAATCAGTGAAAAGATCTGCTAAAGAGCAGCAAAACCCAATTCAGCCCCAGAAGTCCTAACCTCTAGTCCTTTTCTTTGACCACTAGATCACAGTTCATCCCTCCACTGACTTACATTTAAACCCCAAGCGCCAGTCTAGACGTTTGCTTCCTTGCTTCAGCACCAAGTTGGCTGGTTGCTGAATTTGTGTTCTGAGAACAAAATGTGAGCGAGATGCTGGTATGTGCTGGCAAGCCACAGAGAAAACAGGTGTATCTATCACTCACTATAAGCTGTACAAGTCACAGGACAAACAGAACAGCGATAGAAAATAGCGTTTTCCATCCCCAACTTTGTAATAAAAGTAACGTTATTCCAACAACCCAGTTGCCTTTAGTGAACACATTTGTACCCAGCTCTAAAATTTCCACATGTCCATCTCAGAACAATATAAAGCAGCAAATATCGAACCGCACCTTTGCCAGGCAGAGGGTTAAATCCTGGAGGTCTTTACACAGGCAATTTCCAACTGAAATCAGGAAACCGGTTAAGAGCTATAGTATCTGGCCCACAGCTGTCTCATGCATGTTCAACTATAAATATATCTCACGTAATTGGATTATACCATGCTGTTTTAAATATAGATTTTAATCTAAAATGAGGAAATCAGGAAAATTAATTAAGACAGTGAGTGAAATTGTAGAGGGCAAGACTATAGATTTCCTCTGACTGAAAAAAAAAAGAAAATAGCCACAGGCTTCTCTGGGGCACAATTAAAACAGACCCTTTTCATTAAGCTAACAGCATTCTCCTGGAGAGAATTATCCGGTGGGGGGGAGGAGGAGGTAACCCTTATCTTGAGTGCTCTTTTAAAATATTATCTCTCTTGCAATATTTGTGTGTGTAGGGAAGAGATCAACAGGATGCTAAGGCAGCAGAAGGAACCCCAGCAGTGGTTCTCAACCAGGGATACCTGTGCCCATGGGGGTACGCAGAGGTCTTCCAGGGGGTACATCAACTCATCTTGAGGGGTAGGGATACCTCAGTGGTTTGAGCATTGGCCTGCTAAACCCAGGGTTGTGAGCTCAATCCCTGAGGGGGCCATTTAGGGATCTGGGGCAAAAATTGGGGATTGGTCCTGCTTTGAGCAGGGGGTTGGACTAGATGACCTCCTGAGGTCCCTTCCAAAAGTACAATTTCAGTACAAAAGTAAAATTTCATACCCTGACTTGTTTCTACTGCTCTATATACTGTACATTGAAATGTAAGTACAAGATTTGTATTCCAATTCAGTTATTTTATAATTATGTGGTAAAAGTCCGCAATTTTTCAGTAATGGTGTGGCTGTCACACTTGTGTATTTTTAGGTCTGATTTTGTAAGCAAGTCGTTCTTAAGTGAGGTGAAACGTGGGGGTACACAAGACAAATCAGACTCCTGAAAGGAGGACAGTGGTCGGGAAAGGCTGAGAGCCCCTGCACTACAGAACTTTATCATCTAAAGGATGAGAGCCCCAAAGTTGGGGAACTGAATAATAAATACACTTTTTTTTTTTTTTTGTCATGCCCCATGGACCAGCTCTTTTGCATGCCCTGATTTCCACCCTCTCCCAGCTCCATCCAGAGCCTGGAAACTGGATGGCTGCAGAATTATAGACGGGAGTCTTTATAGGCTCCTGCCTGCAGCCTTGTGTGCTAGGACCCGTTGACTAAAGGGGAGCAAGGGCCAGGTTAAAAACAAAAAAAATCCACCCATGCTCGGAAACCGGGTGTGGTGGCTGTTGCCTGTCGCTGGGCCCGTTCCTACCACCAACCCCCCCCCGGCAAACTCGTGCGGCCTGGCAATCCCACCTCCTGGCCTCACCTGTCCACGGCGATGGCCGTCATGGAGTAGATGCTGGCAAACACGGCGGCGATGGGGAAGAAGTTGTGGAATTTGCAGTAGACCAGTCCGTAGTACCACTCGTTGTGGATGGCATAGGTGAAATTGACGACGGTGTTAAAGGCGGCCATGGAGGCTTCTGCAAAAGCCAGGTTCACCAGGAAATAATTGGTCACCGTCCTCATCCTCTTGTGGGCTAGGATGATCCACATCACCACGATGTTCCCCACCACCGCCACGATCACAATGAGCGAGTAGGCGACGGCCCAGAGGGTGATCTGCCAAGCGGGCTGGGCGAACTGGTTGGCATCGGATTCGTTGGCAGACGCGTTGTGGGACAGCGGAGAGTCTATGTTCTCCCCCGCGTACAAGACCTCGTCCATCTTCCCCGCTCCCCGCCGCGCCGGGGTAATTCGCGGGGAGCCCTCTGCGAAGAGCCTAGCCCGCCGGGGCCAGGTGGCAGCTGGTCAGGAAGGCTTGGGCAGGCGGGGTCGGCTACAGCTGTGGTACATCTGGAATTGTGGGGCACATCTGTCGGCTCGGCCTCTGGAGCCCGATTGTTCTGCGCCGCTGATCGAGCTGCCGCTATGTGCAGGGAAAGGTGGTGGGGTGAGTCTGTGTCCCCCCCGTCCCGTCCACACACACACACCCAGCCCCCGCCCTTTCGGGGAGAAAGTGAAGCCACCCCGGTGTAAACTTCTCTGCACCGGTCGCAGCCCGGGCAGCAGCTGGCAGCCCAAGGTGTCTCCCGGCGCAGATCGGGAGCTCTGGAGCCCGGGCTGGGCGGCAGAGGGGTTTTATATAGGCACCGCTCACGCGTCAGGAGCGCTGGGCAGAGCCGGCGCTCAGGACCCTCCCTCCCAGCTGCGGCGCAGCAGCTGGGCAGATGTGTCCGCGCGGGCATCACCTCTGGATGCGGCCAGGGACGCGTGGGAAAGCTCGCTCCGCCGGGATCCTGCTGGAGACGTCGGGATCTGGGGAGCCGGGACGCAAAATGGGGCTGGATCGGGGTGCCCCCCCCCTCCCCCCAGCCGGGTTTTTTGTTTGTTTGTGTTTTTTTTGTTTTGTTTTGGGGTGGTTTTGATGCAGGCGGGAGGCTGAAATCGGGTCCTTCCACCGGCTTGCTTGCGCCTAAATCCGGTCCCTGCCACCCTCTCGGGGGTGGGGGGTGGGGGTGGGGAGGGGTAGCAACAGCTGGCCAGATGTGACCGCCACGGGCAGCCCTGGCAGGCGGGACCCTCCCAGGGGAATCTCGTGGCTGGGGCGGGGTACAGAAGCGGTGGCTGCCGCTCTGGAATTGGCAGGGTCCGGGCTGGAGGTTCCTGAGCCTGCCTCGCAGGGAGACAAAGCCGGAGCTAGATCCAGGCGGGAGCATGCTGGTGCACCTCCGCCCCCCCCCCCCCCCCGGTTCAATGCAGGCTGCAGGCAGCTTTTCTGTCTTGTTCTCCTGCTGACACTTCCCGGAGCTGCCTTTTCCCAGCTCAGTTTGGCAAATGCCATTGCAAGGGGGCAACAATGGACCCAGGCGGCTGTGGGGTGGAGGGAGAGAGGCCCTGTGCCCTGGGGGGCGAGGGAGACTTGCACCTACATCTGTTATTCTGTGCACTGTGCATGGATGTGGAGGGGAGCTTCCTGCATTCATCTCTGTGCAGGCGGCGTGGGAGGCGTGCAGGCTATGCAGGGAGTGAGTTTTGTGCATCAATCTGTCCCTCCCAAAGGAGGGGTCTGGATCCAGCACACAGTGGCCCTCTCTGGTGACTGCCTGGCCAAGTGCCTCTCTTTGCAGGGTGCGCAGCAGAGATAGCTTGTGCACCGGGATATCTCAGCAGCAGGCCGGGCTCAGAGGCATCTGGGGCTCCTTTGTGATTCTGGCCGGTAGAATTCCGAGAGTGGGCAGCCCATGTAACCCTCTGCCCAGTGGGGATTGCACATGCATCCCTGCTTGCATTGTACGGGGTCTTGATTCTGGGAACGGACATGGTACGTGCCCAGTGCGTGGGTGATGGGGCCTGTTGCTCTGACAGAGCTTCTGCAAGGGTGTTGTTACTCTCCCCAACTGACAGTGGTTAACACACACTGTGGGTAAGTATGGGACACAAGGGCAGTGGGAGCAGAGCAGTGAGCTGCAGCCCACACTTTAGATGCAAGCACAGATTCTGCAGCTTTTTCTCCTGTGCAACTGGGTTTAACGGACCAAATTTAGGCTTCCGGTGTTTTCGATATGACCTTTGCTTGTGTTGTTTGCCCAGTGCCATGCTATGGAAGATGTACCATAAACACCTTTCTGTTGTGCTCTCCCTCTGCCTTGCCACCAGCCTGTAGACTCTTTAGCCACCCACTTGGGTGTGTAATGTAGATTGGCTTCAGATACGACTCTGATCCAAATTTTCCCCAAGTTTGCTGGAGTTATCTAGAGATTTGCCCTGGTATTTTACATGAGTGACCCTTTCTGTATCTGGCTTGGTGCTGACCGGTCTTGGCCACATACCTGGGTGTAGTTTGCAGCTAGACATTGCCCATATGGGTATGGATGCTTGTTGAACTCACCAGCTGTGCCTATGGCAGCAGAAGTTTATCTCCCCTGCTCCAGGCTCTTGTATGAGAAGCAGTGGGATGGCAAACGATACTTCATGGGGAACTTTTCCACCCAGTGTGAATCTGACTCACATCATACGGTGATATCCAGACATTCTCATCAGACAGCTTCTTGGTGGCCTGTGTGAGATGTTCACAGTGGAGAAGTGTCCTTAGCACTGTTCCCCTCATTAGAAGCCTCAGTTTGCCATTGCCAATGTAGAGGAGCTTACACTGCCTCTGATGTGCCTCCAAGTAAATAGAAGATTGGGGCAAATTCAAGCCTAGTGTAAGCAGGTAGAATTCCACCGGGGTGGCATTTTGCTCTCTGTCTCCAGAGATGCCAAACCAGAGTATCAAGTACTGAATTCACTGGAGAAAATAGTCCATTTTCAACAAGCCAGGCACTCTGTAGAGATGTGTACAAAATACACAGCAGCCAGGCTGCCCCCAGACTGGCTTTGATGATTTCCCCAGTCTCTCAGCAATCACAGTAAGGCCTTATCTATACACAGTTTTTGTACCAATGTAACTATATCAGTTTCTAAACAGATAAGTGAAATCTGTGCAAAAATAGTATTTAGACCAGCCCGGACAACACACACGGATATCAGTGGGGAGGAGAATACTATGTCCATATTTTTAAAACAAGTCCAGCTAATCTATGATTTTACATTTGTAAGGGCTGCTCTTGGATTTAACAAGCACATTCAGCATCGTATTCACACTGGCAGTGTATTTCTAACAGGTTGTTTTTTAAAGCTGGTAGGGAAGGAGGCAACACTGAGACATGGGCAAGCACCAAGTCATCGTTAATTCATTACTGTCATGATCCATTAAAAAGTCACAGTAAATGCTCTCCTGGAAGCAATTGTAGACATGCTTTGACCAACAGAATATAGGATGGTTTAAAAATCAACACTTTTTTTCCTTCTCTTACCTTTAAATCCATCATAAAGAAGCTTGAGAGCCTGAAATTACAAAGAAATCACAATATTCTAGTTTCAGCTCACTATTTGTTCGTTCTTCTTGGCCTCATTTTGATCCCAATTACACAGACTGCATCTGGAATCACTCTAGGGGGCCTGATTCTCTTCTCACTTATGCTGGCCTTACACTGGTGAAGCGCCATTGCGTTCAATGGAGTTACTCCTGGTTGACACCAGTGTAGGAAGAGAGAACCTGGCTCTATGATCTATGCTCTGTTTCCCTTTCTCAGAGTAATACCTGATTCCACAAATCCTGCCACTGAGTTCAGTGGGACTGACTATTTGCAGAGTAAGGCACTATTCCGTGTGAGTGATGAGTAAGGGTGGCAGAATCTGGCCCTGTAGAAAAACCAGCCAGCCGATTGTCCTATTAAAGCGTGACTGTTAGAAATCAGCTGTGAGCTGACATGCAAGTTATGCTGAAGTATTGTGAGGTCAGAGTGATTGAGGTTTGACTACAATTCCCAACATGGTGGGTTCAAAACTTGCTCCATCTCACACAGAAGGACTGCTTCCAGGGCAGCCAATGACAAATGGGTACCTGCTGCATGGGGTTAGGGTGATCAAAGGCAGACAGATGTTGTGCTGGCCCCATCACTCCCTCCGTACTGTTGGCAATGTTGTAGCCATGTCGGTCCCAGGATATTAGAGAGACAAGGTGGTGACGTCAGACCAACTTCTGGGGGTGAGAGAGACAAGCTTTCAAGCTTACCCAGAGCAATGTAAGACCTGAGGAAGACCTCTGTGTAGCTCAAAAGTTGTCTCTCTCATCCACAGAAGTTGGTCCAATAAAAGATATTCCCTCACCCCCCATGCCTTAACCATGTCAGCCCAATGACAGGAATGCGGCTCGGGGCAGACTTTGATTATGATTTCACTTGGATTTTTGTGTATTGAATGTTACCTGCTCATAGCTACTAAAAATAAAAGCAGGTTTTTTAAAAAGAATATTGTCCGGATTCCTTTATAGCGATCTTCCCTTACAGCCTTTTCAGCACATTATCCTTGGTTTTGTCTGCTAATATGGTTGTAAACAAAACACATTGATACATCTGGGTAGGAGGCAATTGCTTCCTTTTTACTGTGGTTTGTACTCTGATTTGTTATCTGTTTATGTGGAAATTCAATCGGCCATTAAGATCTATAATCCTGAGCCATTTAGAGCTTGTCTACATGGGAAAATTTACCAGCGGAACTACACTGGTATAAGTATACTGATATAGTTCTGCTGGCAGATTTGGCAAATCATTACTGAAGTGGGCTGTAGCCCACGAAACCTTATGCTCTAATAAATTTGTTAGTCTCTTAGGTGCCACAAGTCCTCCTGTTCTTTTTGCGGATACAGACTAACACGGCTGCTACTCTGGAACTTGTACAGTTGAAGTCAGTGAGATGGCTGAATAGGGGTTTAATAAGTTAAACATGTACTTAACTTTAGACATGTGCTTTATTAGAACTGAGTCTCTGATTCAGCAAAGCATATATGTGTTAAGGGAGGTAGTGTGGTTTAATGTATAGGACACCAAATGGGGACTCAGGAGACCTGCGTTTAATTCCTGGCTCTGGCTTGTTGGGTGACCTTGGGCAGGTCATGTCACTGTCCTGTACCTCAATTTCCCCATCTGTAAAATGAGAATGATATTAAAGCACTTTGAAATGTATAGACGAAAAGAACTTATTAATCATCATAATTGCAGTATCAGGCACTAATGTAAATCCCAGGTACGTTTTGTTTCCCCAGCATGGTTTTTCAATATACTGGCTATTCTTTAATAAGCATGATAATACATTAGCTCAACCCTTGTTTCATTTAAGTAATT